CTTTTATTAGCCTTTTCTTTTATGGATTCATTTTTGATTAATATTGCTTTATATTGCAACATTATTTATTTTATATTTAATTTATTCTTCTTTTTGTTTCCACTTTTATTTTATTATTCTTAATTGATTCATTTTTGTACTTTGGCACTCTCACTGCTCGATACCAAGTACTCAGAATGGTTAAGATGAACGACGGGCTCATAATTTCCATCATTCATATTCATAGTATGTTGGAATAAAAAGTCTTTATTGCCACTGTATTGCGCAGAATAAAGCAAAATTAGGAGCACTTCTCCTGATTTGTGCATTAAGTGGCACAAGTACAAACAAAGGGCCTCAATAACAAAGAAAAATCAACTAAATCGATGAAATAAATAAGAAATGTTAACATCTAACAAAAGAGGTTTAGCACCAGTAGGAATGTTGCTTTAATTATTGCAACAGAAATAGTTTTTGAACAGGCCTGAATGAAAATCTGTTATTGCTAACAAATGACTGCACATAATGACTCCTGCACATAAGGAGTCATTCCTGGGAAACAAACCGTACGAGCTTTAATGATCCTGTAGCGCCTGCTGGAGGGCAGCAGGTGAAACAGCTCATGACCAGGGTTGTGCAGAGTTCTTTACTGAGACCGATGACTTTCAGTTCACATTAAAATTTAAGTCTAAAATAAGAAAGATCTGAATAAATTGCATGCATTTGCTGATCTTTTCCCTCTGCGCTAACAGAAACCTCTCTGTATTCCCTTTTCTCCACAGAACTAAGGCGACCCTGAAGAAGCAAAATAAATCAAACAAACCTCCAGAAATCAGGTCAACCAAGCTGTAGTGATGTAATCCTGATCGGTCACCTGGTCTCAACCAGCTGCTTCCACGCTTTGTGCTCATATTTATGGTTTTCTTTGTTCTGATGACTCCACTGAATTCTCTGAAACAACCACATTTCCACTCGCACACCCAAAGGATCAAACTCTACTGGAAACGCCTCCATCTAACTCACCACCACGCACTCGATTTGTTTTGGTGTTGCCGCCCTCCAATTAAATTTCAGCTTTGCACATGAGATATCAAAAAATGTAAATGCTAAATGGTCTGCACTTATATTGGCTTTGATCCAAAGTGCTTTAGATTCATCCATTCATACACCAGTGGCGACAGAGCTGCCTGCCAAGGGGCTGCCTGCCATTGGGAGCAACTTTGGGTTCAGCGTCTTGCCCAAGGACACTTGGACTGTGGAGGGGCCAGGGATCGAACCACTATCTTTGTGATTGGAGGACAACCTGCTCTACCACTTGAGCCACAGCCGCCCCAAAATGTGATGAGATGTTTGCTCTGAATGCTGCTGATGACCACGCTGATGCTCACACAGGTTTGAGCGACACCATAATTTGCAAAGAACCCCTCAAGGACACCAACACGGCACACAACGATGATCATGGTGGCCGGTCTTTTAAGCACATGACCACAGCTTCCTGAAGACGAGGACAAAAAACACCCATATACAGCACTGAGGACTGTAACAATGGAGAACTCGTCGCTTCACTCAGATATCAAAGGTTTAAATGCAACCATACGTTATGGGTCAGTATCACTGTAAAGTACCTTTTCTGTGTCCTCATCAGAATCACTTAGTTATCATGAACATGTTACAAAAAAATGAAAAGCTTCGGTGTTATTACTAATGTCCATACATTGGCACACAAATCAGTGCAAGGACAAGTTTCTTAAAATGTCTTTTTCTAATTTCATACCATTTTCTTTGGCTGGGTGTATCTGCTTTTGTTATGTCCCACACGCTGGTCTGCTAACTTCAAGCAGATGTTAAATTAAAATACTTTTTAAATGTCCTTATTATTCTGACCAAGTTCTTGGGTAAAACAAGTCATTTGGATTTTATTCTTGAATAAAATAGAATATTCTTCTGACACCCTGTCAGAAACCAACTGATGTAATCAGTGAAATCACCCCAACTTGTCTTTCTTCAATGGAGGTTGAAACAACTGCTGCAAGTACAGTGAGTATCTACACTTATGTTTCCCAATTTTCACCTCATTATGTTTGCAGTTAGAGGGCTGCAAGGTGACTCGGTGGTTTGCACTGCTGCCTCGCAGCAAGAAGATCGCTGGTTCACAT